CTTACCTTTTATCTGTTCCTGGACTTTGCAAGCCAGATGAGAGAAACCAGCTAAGGGACAATCAGCTGACTGTCTATGGCTGTTCTTCCCGTTGGGAATGCGCCCAAGCCTAGCGCCTTTGCTGTTCTCCTGCTGTCCTTTACAATCCTGGGCTTTTACATATTTGCTGCTCCACCGCTCAAGAATATCATGTGTAAGATTTGGACCAAGTATTAAAAGGAGAGTGGTGGCCAGCACCACGTTGCCTTTTTTTTTTTTTTTAAAGCAGGAATTTTGCAAACTGTAAATAGGCAAAGTGTGAAACATTTATGACAAAGTTTGGCAAATCCTCACTTTGGCAGTGGGATTTTGGAAAAAGTCTGTGCAACATCAGCCAAAGGCAACTGAACTTTGGGCACTAAGCCTTGGGGATTTAGGAGCAGAATTTATCTAAAATAAAAAGGACCCAGCCTCATAGCACTCTGAACCAAATAAATCATTTAGGGATGCTCAGAACTGTCAGTTCTCGAGCAGGACTTTTAATATGTTAGTGTCATTTTTAGTGCAGCCTGCTCTTCAGAGCAGCTTATTCCAGTGAGCGATCTGAGCTGCACACATTTATGTTCAACATAGCTTTATAACAATATTCAGGAGAGAAGAGGTTCTAACCACCCGCTGTTTAAATCCTACTGCAGTCTAAAACCAAACCAGAAGGAAGAGCAATGCCCACAGCAACTGCAGGGACGAGCGGTCAGTTTTTTGCCATCTGCATTCACTAGCTTCAGCGGGTTGCAGTATTGGTTCCAGCTCCCCTGAAGTCTCATTCCTCACTTTTCCTGAGCTACAAGTAACGTTACTGTCATCACTTCTAACCTCTGCTGCAGAGGTACCTGCACAGTATTGGTTCCAGCTCCCCTGAAGTCTCATTCCTCACTTTTCCTGAGCTACAAGTAACATTACTGTCATCACTTCTAACCTCTGCTACAGAGGTACCTGTATTTTTTTCTTTTACCATTAGCAACACGTTCTCTCTTCATTGCACATAGTATATATACCTTATCCATGTTTGTATCCTTGCAGCTTTACTATACTGCAAGTTATGGTTGCTATAAAGCAAGTTGGTTGCTATAAAGGCAAGGGTTGCTATAAAGCAAGTTATTAGTCATTTTTTGGTAAGTTTCTGTCCTACCTGAGTAATATTCAGCAACACAATCTTACAGATGTTTTCTTACTATCAGACAAAGTGTTTTTAGAAAAAAAAATCCTACTTGCTGCCCATACGTGGCCACAGGATGAATATCCTCAGTGATGAGTATAAGAATACACTTCCCAATCAAAGCTCAAGAGCCTAGCAATAAATATTCACCTTCCTTCCTTTGCCCTGCTATTTTCCTCACCATTTAGCAGACTTTTCTGTGTCGATCACCTCTCTCCATCTACGCCCCCAGTCGCCAGCGGCCGGGGCCTCGTGCAGCCCAGGGGAGCCACCTGCCCCGGCCCCACAGCTCAGCCAGGACCCCCCGGCGCTGCACAAACGCTCGAGGGCTTCGAGGGCAGGGGCTGGTGAGGAACAGAGCCACGACCTCCCAAAAGGACCCTCGCTCTGTGCACGCTCGGTGGCTGCAGAAGGCACCAGGGCTTCTCCCTAGCCAGCAATCAAGCTATCGATTCACAGCTTATGTATAAAATAAATCCAAGCCAGCAGCACACACTATCAGCAACGCCCCTGAGCTCTTCCATCCCGAGTCGGGATGGAAACATCCAGGTAGGAGCATCCTGCCCGTCTGCCCCGGCACCCACCAAGGAGCAGCGCGTGGAAGCACCTTCTCCCCGGAGCCTTCCGCGTTGTCCCTTTTAGGGCTTATTGCACCCAAATCCTCTCACCTTTCTCTACAGCGACACTCGCTTCCCGCCTGCATGGGGTTCTCCAGTTATTCCTGAGAGTCCGAGCAAGAAGCCAGAGGCGTTTTGCCGCAGGGTAAAGGGCGGGTCAGCAGAGCTATTATAAGCAAAAGGAACGCCCGAGTGACTCCGGGGCTGGCAAAGGGACACCACATTAATCAAAAGAGCATGTTCTGAAACCCGCCTTCCTCTGCAGATGCCCCAGGCCCGGCCGAACAAAGAGCTTAAACGATCCACCAAAAAACACCACCAGGACTGACCTACGGAAGCACGGAACTGAAACCATGTTTCCCCTTCTTTTTTCCACCTCACCAGCTGATGCTCCATTTTCGCTCCGATATGGCCATAATGCAGCGGCTGCCCCACAGCCTCAGCCGAATTTATCATTTTCCTAGAAACGCCCAACAGAAACGACGCCCGCTCCCGCTTCAGGTGCGTTCGTCATCCCGAGCAAGAACTCGATACAAACTGGACAGTAGCATCTTACCTTCTTTCCAAGCCTAGAAACATGAAAGAATAAGCCTGAAACCCCAGTTGCTGTCAGGCTGATCAGGTTTCCTTAGCCCAACTCTTTCACCAGTATGTTAATTGGTAAGTGACACTGCTCCCTGGTAGACCAAGAGAAAAATCTCATTTCTAGGCTGGGTTGTGCTCAGATTTTCTCAGTACCTGTTACCCAGCAAGACACTGGCAGCTGCTGCTTTAGAGGATTATTTTCTTTTCCTCATCATTCAGCTACAAGAGTCCGGAGATTTGTTTCTTGCCTACGGAGAAGCAAGTTCTATCAGAAAATCTACTCCAGGCTGCAACAAGAGACAAATTCCTTGTGGGAGAAGCTATGACTGCTGAAAATGAAGACAAAATCCGGATCAAAACCCAACTGCATGAGACGGGCAGCTCCTGAAGGAGGGCTCGGCAGGTCAGGAGCAGCACAGCAGTTTGCTCAGCATAGTTTGCCCCAGCTGATGACCAAGAAACAAGACTGCAACTTTTTTTTTTTTTTTTTGCAGAAACTTTGCAAAATGTTACTGATGTTCTGAGCCAGATGCTCAGAATTTCGTTTTTCAGCATGCTCCAAAGTTAACTCTTGCTGCTTCTTTGTTTTAATGCTATAGAAGAGATTAATGCATAGGCGAAGGGAAGGACCAGTTGCTATCTTGAAAGCACTGAAAAAACACAAGCTACCTTGCAAATAAGAGACCAAATCCCCAGACGGGCCCCATCTGACCTGGCAGCGCTGACCAAGGGAAGTCGGGATCCCGGAAAGCCTCATTCCTGGCTCTTTGGCACCCCTTTATAGGGGCTTCTCTCCCTGCTAGGGGTCATCACCAAACCCATCTTAATTTGCAGTATGACATTTCCATGGATTTTCCCCTTTTCCATAAGCAACAGTTTTCCAGCAAAGACTTTTCAGGTGGGATGGACTCATCTCCAGATGCTGCTGCCTTGCACATGAGGCCACCAGTTGCTCACCTGCTCTGTCCAGCTGCTAGGACATCCCAAAATCGGCATTTTCCCAGGGTTACTTCTCTGCAGAAACAGTTTTCAACACACAAACTCCCACTTTTGGGTAGCCAGCGATCCACACGCAGAGGTTGCAAGGATCCAGGGTTCAAACATACGCTAGCTGACACTTCAGACCCTGTAAAGGGCTCTGCATTTATGAATCTTCACACCAAGACACAATTTCACTGAGCAACGAGGGTGCCCTAAGGGAACTCACAGCAAGATTAGGGTCTAGAGGAGTGAGAGAATTTGCTGTGTTGCAAAGTGACTCTGCCTGGTCTTACAGTGACATTAAGAAGTTAAATCTCTCTCTTTGTGGCTCTGAATCCTTGAGGAGAAAAAGCAAATAGAAAGACCCAAGAAGCTGGGAGGGCAAAGGCCCTTTTTCCTGCTAATAAATACTGATCATGAATAGGAACATACAAATCTTAAAAATAAACAAACCCCACAGTCAGTTAGGCTAAACCGGTCCAGGCTCCACAACAAGGATGATAGCCAGGAAAGCCTCCAGGCTCTGCTCCAGATTCCTCCACCCCAGGTTCTCCAAAGAGGTTGGCCAAGAAGGGAGTGATGGAGCTCAACCATAGCAGGTGGGAAAGATGGCCCAGGGGGATGTGAGATGGGGAGACTCTTCCTGCTCTGGGAACTTCAGTGCAGCTCGGGAGGATCTGCCTCATTGGAACAATCCTTTGATAACCTGGAGTTGCATGTGCACCAAGTGGACCCAATTTGTACCAAATGACCAAGCTGTGATCTTCTGATTGCAGCACAAACGGAGCAGATGCTTCTTAGACACTGGAGCTAGACTGGCCCCTGTGTTCTTGGAAACTCCTTCCACATTTGCCTACAGAAACTGAAATGCTGGGGATCAGCCGTCCTTGCAAACACTGCAGCAAAAAGCGCAATGTCTTGGACCCAAAACGAGCAGCTTGGGGTGTCTTTAACTACTGTACCCACTTTTCAAGGCAACGGAATTCATAAATACAATTATACTGTGGAAAAATTTACACATTGTAACCTAATTTCATTTCAAAAGAATACAGAATAAGAGGGTTTTAAGGTTAATCAACAGCCTAGGGAAACGCCAACAATTCTTCAGGCCTCTTGTCTGTAGCTAGGGAATAGTCTGCTATAGACTTGTTAAAGGGTGACTGTCTGTCTGTCTCTATAGAAAGGAGGTCGAGGTGAACTACTTCACTTTCATAAATCAAAAGAAAGAAAAAAGTGAGAAAATCTCCAGAGTTCAAACATTTCTTTAAAACCCAAACTTTAAATACTAAATGGGCTTCATGGCTGCCATTTTGAAAAACATTGGTTTGCCAAAGGACCCTTTTGATTTCTGCTTGAAACGTAAGCGCTCACAGATAATCCATTGGGAATCCCACCCGCACAAAAGGCTTTTGGCAACAATCGCGGCGCTGCTGAAGGACAACATTTTTGTGCGCAAAATAAAACATTTTAATGCGCTACAATCCATTACACATATATTCCCGCATTTCCTTTCAGTAATTATTCATTAGAAAACATTTAACGTCGCTGCGGATTTCACACTGGGCAGTCTGCACACAAAGGAGGAGAGTTGGCCCATTTAGAAGGGGCCGGGGCCGTCTTTTCTAATCTGAGAAACTCCGCGGAGGGGGGGGCTGCCGGCCACGACAGGCAGCCTAAATTGTGCGGTTAACGGTCAAAGCCCCCCTGCCTACTTTGACACTCATTTAAAGATGACAGCGAACAATAGAGATTTGTTCTTGGCAACTCTTTCTTGTCCTGCGCGCTGCGTCGGCTAAGCCGGGCGGCTCCGCACATGGGAGCGCTCCTGATTCGCCGTCCCACCTGCCACCCCTCCGCCCGCGCTCCCCCTTTCCCCTTTCCCCACTCTAACGCAACGAGACAGGTAGAGAATATCATTAAAGAGAGTCCCATTCAGCGTGTCAGCTCTAATAAAACAAGCGCCCGTCGCGTTAATATGAGCAGCTCCGGTTTTGGTGGAGCGCCAGGAGTCCCGCTCCGCGGAGCCAGGTTAGAGCAAAGAGCCCGGCGCACGCCGCAATTCCCAGCGCATCCCTGGAATTTCTACCTGCCCGGCCGGGGAAGATGCTTTGGCCTTATCCACACCCGGGGATCCAGCGGGTCTCAGCTGGGGAAGGTCCAGCTATTGCTCCATCTTCGGGAAGGCAGGCGACCGCGTTGAACCAATTCTAAACCCTGCTCATCCAGGATGCAGAGCTAAACTCCACAAATCTTTTAGCACTTTTTAGATAAAAACACTAAAGTTCTCCTCAATGCTGACACAGGTCCATTTGCTACTGCTAGACCAGAGGCAGCTGCTTAAAGAATCATGAGTTGTTCCTGTTTGTAGGACAGGGCGTTTTATTTGAAAGCATCAATTGCTGCCCCGCTCCCTAAAATATATTCCCTAGCTAACATGGCACAATATTGCCAGCCAGGAACTAAACCTCAGAATTACAACTACTGAAAAGAGAGAAAAAGAGATTTATGCAGCTCCTAAAACAGATGAGCACAGTCCTGGAATGCCCATAAGTGACAGGGATGTTAGCATGCAGGAACAGCAAGTTATAAAGTACTTTATAGCTCTTGCAAATGAGCAGAGTCCATGCTGCAATGACTCATCTGCTGGTTTGAGCAGCAAGTAATGTGGCTAGCACAGTGCCACAGGGGCTTTCCCCCTCTGTTCCATACTTTATTATTTATTTATTACAAAATACACCCAGAAGCACAATGAAATGTTTGTAGACAGGGAATTTACTATCAGCATTTACTAGGAAACCTTTAAAGCCAGTTTGGCAATGGATTTTATGGAGTATAATCAATTTTTATTGTCACTCTTAAGCTAGTATTGCATGTAGGGGAAGGTCTGCAGAGCAGACGGATGGGAGAACTAGAGAAACGCACACAAACACCCAGCCCTGGGCCAGCAAGGAGAGGGACAGAGCGAGGTATCGGTGTCACTTCAGTTTCCTGTTTCAAGCACTCGAGTGCAGACGCTGATGCCAAAACCTCTGGAATGAGAAAGGGAGGAGAACGGGACCTGCGTGAGCGGGTCTCTCCTAGAGGGGCGAGAAGTCAGTGCAGAAACACGAAACAGAGAATAAGAACGATGCTCAAGGCACAAGAGTGCTCCCCAAAACAGGATCACAGCTAGAGTTCCTTAGCAAAAGCCAATCTTCACCCCGGCGCTAGAGCCCCCCAAACCACGGGGTGCTTTGACAAGCACCACAAACCAGTCGCCTTCCACCACCTGAAGCCCCAGGACAGCATTTTGCAGTCTATGCCCTGAGCAATCTCACACAAGGCTTAAACTAAACTTGCCATCAAACCATTGCATCATTAAGCAAAAATACACAGAATGGGACTTAATAAAATTTTGTTTCAAGGTAAGTTAGGGTGTTCTCTTTGGAAGACCTCCCATAACTACCTGTTAAAGCTCCTCTTGTAGCTAAGAAAGCATCTGCTCCTGGTA